TGGTTTGTTGCTTAGGCTGTGATAGAGGTTGTTTAAAGAAAATATGATAAGATTTTGCCATTCGGTTCTACGGGTATTAGTATGGGATCCGTGAGATTAACGTTGGCTTTTAGAATTCTTTATGGATTATTACCATCCTAATGTATTTTCTCTTAATGAATTTTATCTTATTCTTCAACAAAAAAAAAAAACAAATCTTATTGGCCCCTTGGCAAATAAGGTGCCAAATGTGCCAATCTAGTAATCATCACCTAACTTGGTAAAAATTTATCAAAATAGAGTTAAAATGACTATTTTTAATATAAAGACATCTGAAAGCCTTTGGAAATAAACAATGTCTTTTGACAATAAAATAATACATTGGTTTGTATTATCGGACTGTGATTAAGGTTTTTTGGAGAAAAAAAATTATCGGATTTTGCCATTCAGTTCTAGGGGTATTAGCATGAGACCAGTGGGATCAAAATTGGGTGATGACTTATCACCTTGCTAATGTGTTCTTTTTCCTAATGAATTTTATCTTATTATTCAAAAAAATCTACATAACCCCTTGGCAAATGTAGGGCAAAATGTGCTAACTTGGTAAGCATCATTTAACTTGGTAAAAAATTATCAAGATGCAATTAAAATGATAAATTTTAATATAAGGAGCTGCAAAAGCCATTGCAAACAAGGATTATCAGTTGGCAATAAAGGAATATCTCAATTCGTTTTAACATAAGGAGCTGCAAAACCCATTAATCATCATCTTCGATATTATTTCATTTACTTTGTGGAAAATCTAGGTCGAAGAAATGATTGAGCTTAAGAGTTGCTGCTTAGTCCAAGCCATTGAATATATTTGTATGAGGGGGCCATTGGCGGTGCAATGGTAATGTCATGGAATGCCATACAAGATAATGTTGGCTTTAGTTTTGTCCAAAACTGTCAAAGATTAAGACTTAATTCCGGATTACCAATCATTGGGATCATTGTAAGGTAAAATCCCTTTATTGGATGGTTGGATAAGAACTTATGTCTGAAATACGAAAACCAGGATTCAATTCAATGTAATATACACTGTAGTACTCTCCCTTATTTAGTTTTCTTGTGACAATAAAGGAATATTTTGGTTTGTTTCTTGGACTGTGATAGAGGTTGTTTAGAGAAAATATGATAAGATTTTGTCATCCGATTCTACGGGTATTAGTATGGGATTTGTGATATCAAAGTTGGGCTTTTGGAATTTTTTATGGATTATTACCATCCTAATGTATTTTTTCCTAATGAATTTTATCTTATTCTTCAACAAAAAAAAAAAAAAACAAGTCTTATTGGCCCCTTGGCAAATAAGGTGTCAAATGTGCCAACCTAGTAACCATCACCTAATTACTATCTTTGATTTGAGGACATTCAACTTACAAACTAATGTTTCTCATTAACTAAATTTGGTTTTTTATAAGAGGAATTTGAATAGCATGCTGAGAAGGCAAACACCCTCCTAGAGTCTATAACAAAACAATATGTGATTATTAATGCTTGTTATGAATGATTATCACTAAACTATCATATTAATTTTGGAGATACATTTTCATAACCAAAGTAAATTGACCTTTCATACAATAAATTTTACAAACACACACTTGCTTGATATTCTTTTCCATGTGTAAACTAATGTACACTTGTTCTCCAATGCACATTCAACAGGAATGAATCAACATCAAACACAATTTAATAATTTTTTTTATATAAAAACGACAGCCTATTTAGTGTGATAGAAATGTAAAGAGAACCAAAAATCAAATTTATTTGAAAGGACTTTTTGATTGACTATAACAAATTGAAATATCATACAAAGTGATTGTCAAATACCTGTTAGTGACACAAGTGTTCAAAATGATAATTTCCTCCGGTTGGGAAGGCCTCCGGTTAAGATGGGCCTTCACTTGGTATAAATTGAGACAGGAATAGAAGTGAAAAAAACACAATGCTACCTAAAAATTTACAAGTAGAGGGAGAACGAGACAGAGGGAGAGCAGGAGAGCGATAGATGGGGAGGGAGACTGGGAGAGAGAGAGAGAGAGAGAGAGAGAGAGAGAGAGAGAGAGAGAATGGGGGCAAAAAGGGGGAGCAAGATTGAGGGGGGCGAGAACGGGAGAAAGTGGGGGCGACAGAGGGAGAGCGATAGAGGGGGAGGGAGACCGGGAGAGAGAGAGAGAATGGCGGCGAGACAAAGGGAGAATGGGAGAGACTGATAAAGGGAGAGCGAGGAGGGAGAACAGGAGAGAGGGAGAGCAACCGAAGTTCAGTCATCTGCAGTCGAAGAGAAGAGAGTTGCGAGTGTGAGAGAACGAAAAAGAGAGAACAGGGAGGGCGGGAGAGAACAATGGTCGTGGGCCCTAAGAGGGTCATTTTAGTTTTTGCAATTTAAGGGTAAATTTCAAAATAAAATTTTAAATAAATGTCATTTTGACATGTAATCCGAGTTGGATTGCCATGTCACATGAAAAGCTTAGGTAGAAGTGTGATGCTTACATGGTGTGGGAATCAGTCTTATAATTTGAAAAGTTGAATTAGAAAGTAGTTGTAAATTCTGTATGGGCTAGCCTGGTGTTTAGATTTCTACAATGGGCATGCTTGTATTTTTCTCTTATATTATATATTATATATTATATACATAAATAGTATATATGGGCCGTGCCCCAGGCCGCGGGCAGCATGACCCACGGACCTAAAACCCTAGGCCCAGCATGACACAGACCATTGTGCCAGGCCTGGCATGGCTCGTGTGCCATCGTGTCGTGCCGGGTGGCCTGGCCCGATTTACACCTCTAGGGAGGGTAGGGGCGGGTACCCATCGGGTAGGGTTGGCCAATCCTCGTGTGACATTTCAACATTGACCCACATGAAAGATGACGTGGCTAAGTTGGTCGGGTTGGCCGATCCTTCCAGGTTTCTTGTCATCAGGTTGAACCGGAAAACCCTGGTTCGAATCTTGGTCATCAATCCTCTTGGGGTTCTCATCTCTCCACACTCCCAGCCTATCTCGGTGATTGGTCTACGCAGTATATACCCTGTCTCGCGCCCGCTGTGCCGTACAGATCTCTTCCGTCTTTCCCCTGAACTGAAAGAAAAGCTTGAACTTCAGAGGGTTCGTGCGCATATCAAGTAGTAGTGCTTCCGTTTAGCTCCGGGCATAAGAGATAACAAGAGGAGGAAACAGCGAGATAGAGATAGATGGCTACAGATACTGCTTCCTTCAAGGTAGCGTCCTCCATACTTGGAAAATACTCTGCCCCTCTACTATCTTTCTGCTATTCGTATCTCTACGTTTCTTATCGACTTCCATGAATTTCCTTTTTCTGTTCCTATGGATATACTGTGCAAAAATTTAGTTTTAACTTACTCAGGTGATGCTCATGTTGTATACGGTCTTTGGATGAAAATCACTCTCTTGTAACCAACTAGTGTTTCCCCTCCAAAAACTTATGTCTTTATAATAGTCTACGACATCAGTGAGAAGAATTCATCTGTTACAATTCGAAGGGTCAAGAAGAGCTAGGGGCATACTACACAAAAAAGGACATGGGTTGAAGTAGAGATAATGATTAAAGGGCTCAGTTGAGTTGGACATATAGTCTCCACTTTGGGTTTCATTTATTCCATGAAGTATGGAGCGGGAGATACAAAGAGAGTCAAATGACATGGAAAAAAATGCATTACTGGGAAAACAAAGAATTTTACACTGTTCATGAAGAAACAAATTGGTAGAGTTAAATGTGGTCACAGGTCCTGAACCAACGAATGTTAGGTTGCTGTCACCTCAGTTGAAATGTTCCTGGCAATTGACGATAATCCTTCATTTTGAAGGGCTTCGGCATTGTGCTAGTGGAAATGGGCAATTAACTGGAAGGGACCGTTACCATTACTTGGTGTAATGATAAAATCTCAGGTTGACAAGAGTGAGATAACAGGTTTGAGTCTGAGGGTGGCTACTTTTTGTGACAAATGGGGAAGGTTAGGACCCTACCCAGTCTACCCCTCCCAATACCCCCAGGTAGCAGTGACCAACATTGGTAATGGCCTTTTTTACATAACTGCAGCTAATTTAGTTTTCTACCTTGTAAAACGTAGGCGCTTTATCAGATATACAAAATAGGAGTAATCTCCAGGCTGTTGCAAGTAGCAACGGGATAATATTAATTATTGCCCACGTAGTTCTGCTCATTTCATTCATATCACAGACTGTGTCCACCTTCTTCATGGGAAGAGAAACTCTATGTGAATATCCATGTACAAACTCATATATGTAATATTCGATTGCTTCAGTTCTTGTAGAACTTTTAAAAAAATTGAAAATTCATTGTTTGGAATATGTATATTTCTCAACACTTTGATATGATTTCACATGGAACAGATAATCCTGGGGTCCAAGTCAATGACTCGCCAAAATATTTTAACTGAAATGGGGTATAAGTTCACTATAATGGTAGGTTCTCGACATACACTTGTTCTTTCTCTCATTGTCTATGGAAACCAGAAGTTTAATATGGCTTGTGATCTAGACTGCAGATATAGATGAGAAGGCAATTCGAAAGGAACATCCAGAGGATTTAGTAATGGCTTTAGCTGAGGCAAAGGTATGAGTTTGTAGAGAACACTGATGTGGCCCCCACTGTACTGCACTTGTATGACTGTAGTTAGCAGTTAGTTATTTCAGTTGTTAGTTGGTAGTTATTTCATTTTATAATTATTAGTTTCTTTTATTTTTTGCCATGTAAGCAGTAAGGGTAATTCAGCCCTTTTACTTTTATTTGAGAATTAATATAAATTGTAAGAGTGGGGCGGCAGTTAATTGTCTCTCCCTTTTGTAAGTCTCTTCTTCGAATTCTTCTTCTCTTCTCTTCTTCTCTTTTCTCAATCTTTCTTTGTTAATTGGACATTAAACCTAGGACTGATTGTAGTCCTATTCGACTACATGGTATCAGAGCCAACCTAGGAATTCTTATGATAGTCTAATATGGTCGACTACATAAGAACTTCCTAGGGTTGGAAGTTTCAGCAGAGATATGATCATTGGCTGGTTCTTGGAGGTTGCTGGCAGTGTGCAATTGATGCCCAAGGACTTGTAGAACCTTGGAGAATGTTCAGCGATCAGGAAGAATCAGAAGAAAGGAAGAAACCTAGTTTTAGGGTTCCAATTTTGGTTTGAAGGTGGCGGCTGATTTTTTCTGGGTAAGATAGTATCTTTTCTTGAGATCGAACGTAGAAAGTTTCTCTTTTTATCAGTCTGGGAGGTGCGGCTGGGAGATTTTGAGTTTTCTCAGTTTTTTAGGGTTTCCTTCTAACCTACGACCAGTTTTAGGGTTTCTAGGACTGAAACCCTAAAGTTTTGTTTGCTGCCAATTCTAGGGCATTTTTTTTTAGACCTGTTTCAGCTTTCAAGAGTGGGTTGTTCTGGACTCTGAAGATTTATGAAGTCTGTTTTCTCTTTTCTGGGTGGTGGCTGAACCTTCTAGGTCTGCTGTTTTGACCTATTTGAGTTATAAGAGTTGTGTTTTGACCTATAAACTGAAAAGGGCTGACAGCAATGGAGCTTAAGAACCAAGGGGAAAGTTTTTTGGTAGCTGGTGGTACTGGTAGCATGCCTGAGAACAGTTTTTGGATTACCATTGTCAAGTTTGATGGATCAAACTAGTTGGAGTGGGCCCAATCAGCCATGATGGCCATTGGGGGTAGAGGGAAACTGAATTATTTGTTGGGGGATGTGAAGTAACCAGCCATGGAGGACCAAATATATGCCAAATGGGTTTAGGAGAACTATTTGGTTATGACATGTCTATGCAACTCCATGCAGCCACATATCAGTCGAAACTATTTATGGGCAAAAACAGCTAAGGAAATTTGGGATATTATTAAAGAGACCTACTCCCAACCCCTTAATGTTGCTAGGGCTTATGAGCCGAAATGTGAGGTAAATAACCTTAAGCAAGGAGAGAAACCAATCTCGGTTTATTTTTCAACATTGAAATCCTTATGTCATGAAATTGATCATTTAGAAACAATTGAGTCTGAAAGTCAGAAGGATGCACAGACTTACAGAAAGCAAGTTGAAACTAATAGGGTGTTTGAGTTCCTAGCTGGTTTGAATTCTGAGTATGACATTGTGAGATAGCAACTTTGAACAAGAGACAATGTGACCTTATCACAAGCCTACTCCTTGGTGCACAGTGAAGAGAGTAGAAGGAAGGTTATGTTGCAGCACCAGCCCCTTGAATCAGCCTTGGCAGCAACTAAACCTAAGTTTGGGGGTGGTAAGGAGAGAGATATGAAGAAGGAAGACAAGAGGGACCTAGTAGGTGAACATTGCAAGAAACCTAAGCATACTAAAGAAACCTGTTGGAAGTTACATCCCCATTTAGTTCCAGCAAAACTTAGAAACAAAAAGGGGAATGCTAATGTGACTGTTACTACTGATTGTGCAACCTCATCGGGCACAAGAGCCGCATTACTAGACACTCTAGCTGCTGTCTGGGCTTCTCTGACTCAGTTGGAAAATGAAGTTGGTAATTCAACACCATCATCTCAGCCGTCAGTAATAACATCAACTCCTCTCACCTCAGCTTTTGCTCATTCAGGTACACGGGCCTCAACTTATCATGCTTCAGCCCAGGTAATGCTGAACATTGTTGGGTGATAGACTTAGGTGCATCTGATCATATGACTATCTTGCCCTCACTGTTTACTACCTATCACTTATCCTCTGGCAGAGACAAAGTGTCTACTGCTGATGGCTCTCTTGTTCCCATTTCTGGCAAGGGAGACATCAAGTTGTCTAATGTCATTTCCTTGTCTTCAATTTTGCATGTTCCTAAACTTAGTACTAATTTGCTTTCAGTTAGTAGCATTACCAAAGCCAGAATTGTTCAGTGGCTTTTTTTCCTGATCGATGTGTTTTTCAAGATTTGGAGACAAGGAAGGTGATTGGGACTGGCCGTGGGACGAATTAGATCTATCTACTTGGAGGGAGCTCTCACTAGGAAGATAGTGAAGTTAGGGGGTCTCTTTTGTTTCTCAGTCTGTTAGTCAAGTTATGCTTTGGCATAACCGATTGGGTCAATTATCTTTTAGGTCTTTGAAAAGTTTGTTTCCTACTTTGTTTGAGTCTATACAGATGTCCAATTTGAAATTTGAAAGTTGTGAGCTTGCAAAGCATTGTAGAACAACCTATTCTTTTTTTTGATAGATAAAATTCAATTGATTTCATTAGAAGCGAATGATAAATAGTTCGTTACAAGCATCCCAATATGAGGCATGAGGTGTAGCCTCACTCATTGATATAGAAGCATCATAAAGTTACAATTGGGCCCAGTACAATTGTTCCCTAGTTACCCCTTGTTTAGCTAGAGAATTAGCAAAAGCATTTGCCTCCCTCCCTCCCCACCCACTGTATAGTTACCTCCATCTACTGAGTTAACCATTTGAATTTCTTCAATTAATTTCTGTAAACCCAGATCACTGAATATGGGTTTTATAGCCAACCCACCACCACCTTGGAGTCCCCTTCTATCACCAAATTTTCCAATCCTAACTCTCATGCAATCTATACACCTTGTAGGGCTGCGTACAATTCTGCCTTTAAGGAGTCTCCATTCCCTACTAGTCCTGAGAAGAGTGCTCTTAAGTTTCCTTCCTTGTCTCTAATGACCCCTCGTATTCCAGCTGGGCCTGGGTTGCCTTGATTACTCCCATCGAAGTTTAATTTCAAAATCCTTCAATGGGAGGAGCCCAAGGCAACCTTGCCATAACCTTCTGCATTGAGCTAGAAGCCATTAAAGACCAATTCCTCCAAATATCATCAAATGTGAAAATTTTGAATAGTTCCACCATTTGTAGCCAGTGTATTACCCTAGTCATTACACACCACAATTTGTTGTTTGCCCCTTTCTTTCTCTTGGAAGATTCTGACATTTCTCTCTTCCCACAAGGTCCATACCACTATTCATTGAGTAATAAAAGAAGTAGTATTCCTTTTGACATTGTGCATACCGATGTTTGGGGACCTTATCACATCACTGTTATGGGGGGGTACAAATATTTCTTGCTGTTTGTTGATGACTATACCTGCTTTTCTTGGGTTTACTTGATACGTTCTCGAGATGTGGTTCCTACCTTGACCATGATCTTTCATCAAATGATTCTAACCCAGTTTGGGGTAAAAATCAAAATTTTCAGATCCGTTAATGCGAAAGAGTACTTCACAACACCACTAGCTTCATATTTCCTTGACCATGGGATTATCCACCAGAGTACTTGACCTCATACACCTTAGCAGAATGGGGTTGCTGAGAGAAAGAATAGGCACATATTGGAGGTGGCTAGAAGCATCATATTTAACTCTAATGTGCCTATACGTTTCTGGGGAGATGCCATTCTCACTACTGTATATCTCATAAACCAAATTCCTTCACGGGTTCTTGACATGAAACCTCCATTCACTCTTTTATATCCTGATAAAGAGTTGTTTTCCATTCCTCTTAAAACCTTTGGTTGTACTCGCTTTGTTCAGACTCTTGGCCCTTGTGTTCGATTGAGAAGAGAAGAAAAGAGAGAGAGAGAGAAGAGAGAGAAAGAGAAGAGAGAGAGAAAAGAGAAGAGAGGTTTGATTGAGAACTAAAGATAAAAAGGGGTTGGCTGACTACCAACTTCTTATTTATATTCTCTTAACATAATAAGACTAGTAATTACAAGAATGCCTTTGGTGGCAATTCATAATAATGAACAAATAACAAAAAAGAAAAAAAGGAACTAGTTGACAGCACCTAGGTTGACTAGGCTGATAGCATACTAACAGCATACCAAAATAAGTTTCACAACACTCCCCCTCAAGTTGAGCTGTATATGTTTATCATGCCCAACTTGTCATACAACTCATTGTGCCGCGAGTATGGAAGTCCTTTTGTGAGGACGTCAACAAGTTGCTCCTTGGAGTTGACATAAGGGATGCAAATTCCCCTTTTTTTTTAATTTTTCCCTTATAAAGTGTTTGTCCACTTCAATGTGCTTGGTCCTCTCATGTAGGACAGGATTGTTAGCGATGTTAATGGCTGCCTTATTGTCATAGTAAAGAGACATAGGATTATGAACAACAACTCCAAGCTCCCCTAGAAGATTTTTTTAGCCAAAGAACTTCAGCCACCCCATGTGCCATAGCTCTATACTTCGCTTCAGCACTTGACCTTGCTACCACACTTTGTTTCTTGCTTTTCTAAGTCACTAGGTTTCCTCTCACAAATGTGCAATACCCACATGTGGATTTTCTGTCATCCACAGCACCTGCCCAATTAGAATCTGTAAAGACTTGCACCTTTAGATGATTATACTTATTGAATAGTAGACCTGTTCCTGGATACTTTTTTAAGTATCTAAGAACTCTCTCTGCTGCCTCCAAATGAGGTTTCCTAGGAGAGTGCATGAATTGGCTTAGGACACCAACTGAATAAGCAATGTCTGGATGAGTCATGGACAAATAAATTAACTTTCCCACTAACCTTTGAAACTGTTTTACATCTTTCAGAGGTTCACTGTCACAGTTACCCAATTTATGATCAACATTCGTAGGAGTATCTGCTGGTCTTGC